CCCACATATCAGGGACGAAAAAATGCCCGCGAACGTGTCAGGGGGGAAAAATGGCCGCAGACCACGTGTCAGGGGTGGAAAAATGGCCACGGACCACGTGTTGGGCGGAAAAATGGCCGCAGACCACGTGTCAGGGGCGGAAAAATGGCCGCGGACGTGTCAGGGGCGGAAAATGGCCATGGACCACGTGTCAGGGGTGGAAAAATGGCCACGGACCACGTGTTGGGCGGAAAAATGGCCGCAGACCACGTGTCAGGGGCGGAAAAATGGCCGCGAACGTGTCAGGGGCGGAAAATGGCCGCAGACCACGTGTCAGGGGTGGAAAAATGGCCACGGACCGTGTCACGGGAGGGAAAATGGCCGCGTATCCTGCTCGTATCCCGAGGCGGAGTTCGCAAACCAAGGGAAATTTTTGCAGCCAGAGCTGGTCGTAACCCGAAAAGTTCGTTAACAGAGGCGTTCGTAACCCGAGGTACCACTGTACTTTCTTGGTGGCAGCCCCCATATATTGGAGTACCTTGTTAGAGACTGACTCAACTGTGGAGGGCAGCAGATATCCTGGTTTCTGGTTATTTAGTCATTTTCCATTTTGCACATTTTATTTCAGTTCTTATAAGTTTCTGGCATACTACAAAGATTGCAGACTTTACTGCCTAAAATAGACTTCTTTCTAGGTTGTTATAAGATAGAAGAAAGCCCTTGCCCAATCCTGAACACCACCATTTGCTTTAAAAGATGACTGGGTGAGCGACAAACTTTCTTAAATATTTGTTTCCTCAGTACCTCTTGATCCAAAACATGCTTAACCTTCTTAGTCCACCAAAAAAAAAAGTCCCATGTTTTGGAATACTTATGCCATTGTACACCCTCCAAATCTGCAGGAGGTATATGAATCACTTTTTGTGGCTTTGTACAAACATCCTAACTGGCAAAACCCCACTTTGCACTTGTGCACGAGTTTCAGGATTGTGCTTTAAAGAGAACACGAGCGCTCGCACGGTCTTGCGGTAGGACGTGTTAACGAGATGGGAAGAGAGATAAAAAGCTTCTTGCTCAATATTTTCTGCCAGCAGGTGACCAATCTGAAAACAGAAAGTAAGAAATGAGATCCTTATATTTAATAAGGAGACGAAGCATTTGAAACTGAGATGGTTTCTTAATCAGCTCAAACTCAAGGAAATTCACTTCACATCACAAGTAAAACAGGAAGAGCAATTTCATTTCACTGCAGCAATTAAAGAACAAGGCTGTGTGGTCAGTTCCTTTTTTTGGTCAACCCAACAGGAAACTAATCTGCAGCCAGCCTGGGGTATCAAGCTCAAGAGCAATTATAAATGGAGGAGTACCGTCTCCAATAACACTGATTCCTGATAGTGTTTCAGACTACTCCAGAACCAAATCCTAGGTTCTCTGAATACTTCCCAAGACTGATTGGCAAGGCTGTAAAGGAAAATTGAGACTCTGTGTGCAAGTGTCAGGAGCCATAATTAAGAACACAGAAAAGGATCTGTTGAAGTATTAATTATGAAGTCCAGCTTCAGCATGTTCCAAGCACTCTCTCTCTCTCTCTCTCTCTCTCTCTCTCTCTATATATATATATATATATACACACACACACACACAGTGGTA